TTGGTGTTGGTGTCCATTTCCTTATTCAATCCCTGACCGGAAGTAGAGAGCTGCTTAGACAAAGTCCAGGAGGGAACATCAGATATCGCAGTACTTGAGAAGAATTGAACACATAAAGCCAAATAAATGTGCATGGTCAGAAATTTACTTTTCCATCAATGGGCAATATTTGCTCCCTGCAAAAAAAACAACAAAGTGTAAAAAGCAATCTGATGCAAGCATATATCTAAATGTAATTCCTGACACTTTTCATTCATTTTCACATTTCATTTTTATAATAATCATATAATATTTAATTTAATTGTGCAGGGGCAATCTTTGCCCCTTTGTCTTGAATTTGTGAGGCATTTTTGTTCATTTTGGTGGCATTTTTTTGCCACAGGCCCCAGTTTATTTCCAACCCTTATTCAGACATTCAACCAGTATTGGAGTTCCAGCAAAGGAATTTAGCTACAAATTTGTAGTCTTAGAAAATAAATCAGTTGCTATTTAAAATAACGAGAAAGCCTGATAATATTTAATCAGATCCTCAGGAAAAATACTCAGAATTGCAAACTTTAAAAGCCTTTTCTTTTGGATGCATGCCATCCTTTACATGCATAGTGCATATGCAGAAGAAGTTCAACGGCTGAGTGAGATCAAACTATTCTTTATTCAGTCTCTAACTCTGTTCTATATATATTGAACACAATATATTCAAGTAATATCACACAAACAAGAGTGTTGTTGTACTGAATGTCATAATATTCAGACCAACAGCATGATTGCAAGAGAATATTGTCTTTATACAACAGTTATTAATGTTGACGAGTCTTTATATACATATGCCTGGCAACAATTTTTTTTTCCAGAATGAACAAAACATTGAGCTGTATCTGTCACCTAATAACGCACAGAGCTAAAAATTGTAATAGTTCCTCTGATTTAAAATAAGTGACTCTGAATCTAAAATATTATACAAATAAATAAAATTAGATTTTACGTGCAAATTACTGGCCAAATATTACTGTTTATGACTGTGTATTACACACACACACACACATGAATGTTCCTCTGACAAAGCTAGAGAGCCTCAATCCTGCTTTAACACACCTGAATGTAGTTCTCTAGTAATTTTTAATTAGTTTCTAGTAATTTTCAAGTCCTGGATTAGCTTCAGGTGTCTAAAGCCATTTTAGAGCAAATATATAGAGATAATGAATATTGTTATAATAAATAATGCATACTATTGTACATAAAATAATGCATGTAGTACTGTACCATTATTTGCTCTGGCCATTCTTCTCCTCATCATAAAAGAAAGACCGGATTTTTCTTTGTAAACCCAGATTGTGTGGAAATAAATCTTGCCTCATGCTGCACAAAGCTTGTGAACCACACACTATGGTGGATTCAATTATTTACTCTGCACAAATGCTTTTAATACCCAACTGCATCGGAAATACTCAAAAACTGCGCTGACTCTAAAGGTGATTTCGTAAGAAAAACGGATCTCTAAAAACAGCAAGCTTTTAACCATATCACACTGCTGGGCAGAAACGAAAGAGCAGGTTAAATCTGCATGAAGCACAACGGTCTGCAAAGGCTTAAATGTGGTTCACCGTTGTTCTAAATGGTATAAACAACATAATCAGCTTTGCACAGGAGCTGCTGTAACAGTACTGAAGCACTGAAACATGACGGCGATGTGACTGTAATGGTAATGTCTGCCTTTTTTCATTGTGCTACGGCACTTTTAATGCTTGGATGTATTCCGAGTAGGAGTATCGTATTTACGCTGCACAACTGCCTGAATCCAGATGAAGGAGACTGTGAAAAGATGGTGACATCAAACAGCATTAGAGGACATCAGACACCACACTGAAGCTTCTGAAGTGCACACACCTGTGTAATGGAAACAGACAGGTGTTCACTGCGAGACCGGCCTGTCTGGATCCTATAATCCCCACTGGTCAGGTGGGAGCAATATAAGTGCAGTCACTTATTACACAGCTTTACAACAAAGAAAACAATGTAGATTGTTTTGAATCGAAATTGTTTTATAATTTAGCTTTGTAATTGCTTTTGTAAGTAAAAATGATTTACAATCGCTTGCCAAGCAACAAGATGAACACTGCAACAATATTACAGTAATATTAATACAGACGTCATCTGAGGTCATTTTCACTGCAGTTAAACACCGAGATCAAGATGGCACCAGTTGCGTTTGTATGAAACAAGACAGCATGTCTCACCACACCGGTTTCACTTACCCGGATGAGTGGATTGATATTACAACGTTGCCTTGGATAATAATAAGCTGTGTCCCAATTCAGAGGCTGCATTCTTCGCAGGCTACACTCAAAAACTGAATGCGTCACAGCTGTGGGACAAAGGCTGTCCAATTTCAAAAGGCTCCTTCAAATACAGCCTCAAAATGCGTCCTTTGTTTCCTGGGTCATGAAGGATATATATACCAAAAAATGGCTGCCCACTGCTCCGGGTGTGTGTTCACGGTGTTTGTGTGTGTTCACTGTGTGTGTGCACTTGGATTAGTTAAATGCAGAGCACAAATTCCGAGTATGGGCACCATACTTGGCTACACGTCACACCACTCACTCACTCACTCACTCACTCACTCACTCACTCACTCACATTCACTCCCCCTCACTCACTCACACACACTCACTCACTCACTCACTCACTCACTCACTCTGAGAGCAAGACAAGACCAGCCAAATTGCTATCAGAAACGCATCTGATTTCATTTTTTTTTTTCACTTTGACTACATAATCATTGTGTTCTAAAATAAAGTGTGAGAGTTTACAATGCTATGATTAATAAAAGCTAGAAGTATTGTTCATTAAGATTGTTAATTTCAACATTTACTAATACATTTTTAAATTTTAAAGTTGTATCTGCTGACATTATTTAATGCACTATGAACTGACATTAATGGGTGAGGTATAATTAACATAATAAGATTTAATGTTAATATGCATTTATTTCTTTTAAAAATATAATACATTTTTATGGGTCAGTACTGTTTTTAGTTTTGTAATAAAGTTCAGCACTATTTTACTTGGAAAGTTGTGTTTGTTTTTATTCAGTATCCATTTATCAGCCAGTGTAGTCCAACCTAGTTATCGTTATCAGAAAAATCCACTATCGGTCCACCTCTAATGCAAACACCATGCGAGCGTCACTATGGGAAGCAGAAAGTGCCCGATTTAACGCCCATCTCTTTACCCCTTGCCCACATGCAACCGGCAGATCTCACCCGTCGGTGGAAGACTAGTACAGTTCAACTCAAACAACACATCATTATCAGTGCTTGGGAGTGAATGGGCACTAATGTGTTATTTTGGTGCAAAATGCTCGTCAAGATTCTCTGATTAGTGAAGATTTCTCTGTAGGATCATGGGTAATGTAGTTTTTCACCACTAATTCCACTGTCAAATGGGATTATTTAAAAAAATAAGTTGAAATAATGTGAGCTGATGGCTTCATCAAAGCATTTACCATTTGACAACCTCCTTTTTCCAACTCAGTGATTCTGTTTTTTAGTTTTTACTGACATGTTGGTGTTATATCTTTCAGTTGGTTGTTATAAGTTGCACTGAGTAAATACAGCTGGATAAAACAAAAACTGTGTCCGTCTTCATTTCAGGCTTCAATGCAACGAAATGTGATTATTTTAAAGGGGGGTGATTATTTTCTATACCCACTGCATGTATATACGAACAATAATAGTAATTCCTCCCCCTAAATTTTTAAGTCTGACCTGACATGAAGGGGTCAGGATTTGGATTTGTTTGTAGACACAACAAGAACAAAAAAGCAGAGCAAAAAGCATTTAAAAAGGTGTAAACTGATTTATTCCGACATCAGGCCATCATATCACCCCTATACAGCTCATCTAAAAGAGTATACTGTTATCTGTTAAATACTCATTTATAAATAGACTGTACATCTGTAAAATAAATAATTCACTATTGCGCATTATAAGTCACTTGGTGTTTAAGGTTTTTGTTCCAGCTTTGAACTGTCTTGCGCTAAGTACTACAGGTCATGCGGCGTGAGAGGTCGCACACTATCTGGTGGTCTCGCAGTAGTTGTACAGTGCAAACACAAAGCATCGGAAGCTCCAGTTTCACATCTCAGTCTCTGCCAAAAAGCTCTCACCCAGTCCTGATGTCATCAGGACCATCTGGGAGCTGGAAGAGTCTGGAAGGGTCAGAGACAATTCGGTAAATGTCTGAAATGTTTGAAGAGGACAGGAAAAGGCTATTCCAGCTCTACTAAAGATTCTTCTTTCTAGGGATAGTTCACGTTCTCTCATCTTTTACTCACCCTCAAAACTTCATTTTTTGATTAGTAATATGCATTGCTAAGAACTTCATTTGGACAACTTTAAAGGTGATTTTCTCAATATTTTGATTTTTTTGCACCCTCAGATTCAAATAGTTGTATCTCGGCCAAATATTGTCCTGTCCTAACAAACCATACATCAATGGAAAGCTTATTTATTCAGCTTTATTCAGCTTTCAGATGATGTATAAACCTCAATTTCGAAAAATTTACACTTAATGGTTTTGTGGTCCAGGGTCACATATTCTTACCTAGGCTGCATTTGTTTGATCAAAAATACAGTACAGTAAAACTGTAATATTGTGAAATGTTATTACAGTTTCAAATAATAAATATTCCTGTGATCAAAGCTGAACGTTCAGCACCATTGCTTCAGTATTCAGTGTCACATGATCTGTCAGAAATCATTCTAATATGCTGATTTGCTCAGGAAACATTTGTATTATTTTCAATGTTAAAAACAAATGTGCTGTCAAATTTTTGTGCAACTGTTTTTTGTTGTTGTTGTTGCAAGATTCTCTGATGAACATTAGAACAGCATTTATTTGAAAACAAAGAGCAACAATGCAAATGTCTTTAGTCACTTTTGATCATTTTAACGTGTCCTTTCTGAGTAAATGTATTCATTTCTTTATAAAAAAGAATATTACTGACCCCAAACTTTTGAAGAGGCATGTGCAGTAACGGAAATGAGAGGGGACTGGGTCTTTCAGGCTCCAAAATGACAAAAAAAAACATAAAAGTACCAAAAAAGTAATCCATGCGACAACAAAAATCATTAACGTATGACAAAAATTTAGGCTACTGAAAATGCGTATAACAGTCTTTCTGTAAAGATGTGGCACCATTGACGTCATTGGTTTTAGTGATACGGAGTACTTGTTTGATACTTTTAAGGTGCTTGTTTTGTCAGCTCCAGTCCCCATTCACTTTCATTATATGGAAAAGAATGGTCAGGATTTGCTTCCAAAACTCTTTTCTTTTGCGCAAAAAAGAAAGTCAGATAGGTTTGGAGTGACATGAGGGTGAGCGATGACAGAAGGATCCTTTTTGGCTGAACTATTCCTTTAAAATGTACCCTTACTAATAATACCTCTAAGCCTAATGACTTTAGGATATACAGGACAGAAAACACACAGCTTGGCCATTATAAGCAATTCATATTTCTATTTCGTAAGTAGAAATGATCTCTCCTAAATAATGCATGAGTAATGTCAATTTCTGTACTTCCCTTTTGCCCCAGCCTCTTAGAACCAGTTACTCCAGGAAAGTCATCCACACACAAAGAGGGAAAGAGAAAGCGGAAGAGAAATCTAAATGAAACAGTCTTGAAGCAAAGAGAACAGGCTGAGAGAGTGAGGCTGGTCAGCCCTTACTGCTGTGGGGAACCCAGGCTGGTTTCTCCCTGGGGGTCACCGAGCTTCCGCGCGCCTCTCCGTCTTTATCTTCCTCCTCCTCGCCTTCAGAGAGGAGATCTGAGATCTGCTGCTGCAGCTCAGGACTAATGTCGTTCTCGGCTAGAACCAGCACACGCAGGCTGGTGGGGTAGTTCTCCACCATGTCTAGGAAGACCTGATCATAGAGAGACAGGGAAAGGCCTGACGGAAATGAATATGCTCAAAGCTTGTAAAGAACTGGGAGGAAATGAAGTGCAATGAAACATCTACTGTTGGTTGCAAGTAGCCCCAATGTATCGGTGTTGATGGTAACTGTGATATTTACTAAATTAAATACTGATATTGTGCTAAAAATACACATATGAAATTATCATAAACAGTGCAGCACTTATACGGTTGATACACTTTTGTGCACTTTTGTACAGTTCACCCAAAAAGAAAATTCTGTCATCATTTACTCAGCCTCCACTAGTTCCAAACCTGTGTGAGTTTCTTTCTTCTGTTGAACACAAAAGAAGATATTTTGAAGAATGTTGGTAACCAAACAGTTGACTGGTGGCCATTGACTTCCATAGTAGGAATAGAAAATACTATGGAAGTCAATGGCTACCTACAACTGTTTGGTTACCAACATTCTTCAAAATATCTTCTTCTGTTGAGCACAAAAGAAGAAACTCATACAGGTTTGGAACAAGTGGAGGGTGAGTAAATGATGACAGAATTATACCCCTATAAGCCTCATTTTGGGCAAGTAGGATATATGACCTGTGAACTTTAGTTACACAAGTGTAATATAAAAAGGTAGTGGCATCAGATGATTGGGTGCAAAGATTTTCCATGAACAAATGTAATTATGGAGTCATTGGCTTCTCTTGCCTCTAGCTCCCTGCAGGAAAAGTGAGACTCAAATGCTTCTCTGGATTTTCAGCTAAGCTGCCCAGACGCATACAGAACCAACAGACCTTCAGTGCTGAAAACATAATCAAATTAGACCACAGGTCGCCAACTGGCAGACTCCGGTCTGAATCCGGACCGCAAGATGCGTCCAAAAGGACCACGAAGCCTTTTGACACAATGAAATAAATCAATGCAAAATGCTATTTTCTAATAAAATCTAATTTATATCAGGCACATCAAGGTCAGCTCAGTAGAGCCGTTTGGGTCCAATGGCGCCACGGATTGCTACTACAGTAAACTGTTGCTACGGTCAGATGGAGAGCGGCGCGCAGACAGATGAAACTTTCGATGAGTGAAAAACAATGGCATTCTCAAAAATTAGGAAGGTTAACGAGTCCTTAAAAAGTCTTAAATTTAGTTGTATCAAATTTAAGGCCATAAAAAGTCTTAAATGGTACAAGAAAGTCTTAATTATGATTGTCTTAAATTTGGGGACGGAAAGACAAGAATTGCGATATAGTGTAATGTGATGATTAAACTTCAAAAAGTTATGTTTTTACGAAGCAAACATGCAGAGCTGTAAATGTGACCAAAATATAACGCATTATAAAAATGTATCATTTTATAAAACTTTTTGGTTTTGTAAAAACCTGTATCTGAACTGTAAATCATGCTTTTTACAGTTATTTTAATTTTATTTGTCCAGGTCTTAAAAAAGGTCTTAAAAGTCTTAAATTTGAGCTTAAATATCCTGCAGATACCCTGGTCTGGCAAAAACCATCAATTCATGTTTTTAGGTATATAATTGTCCAGACCTCAGCTGGTGGACCTCAGGCTATTTTAGTTGAAGACCCCTAAATTAGACAAAATATGAATGACAGTAAATGACACTGTGCCTTCAGGTAGTTCATTTCTGCAGTCATTTGTATAATAGGTGGTGCTTGGAGGAAACCACATGTCCAAATATGCTCCACATTATCTGAAAAGCAGTGCAACAGATCAGTATCACACGTAATAATTTAAATACTTAATCATCATGATACAGCAAGCACAAATACCCAGATGACCCACTACAACTGCTGACATTCTAAAGCATGGAAAACAATGTACGTTACCATCCCATGAGACCAAAAGGAGCCATCAAATTCACAAAGTCATGTAATGTCCTTCATCAAAATTCATTGCCTAGTATGAAAGTATAGGAATTTAAAACTGCATTCATCTGCACACACACAAAATAATTAATGGTTTGCTTTTAGAACAATGGTCCAAACTTTGTAATTACAACCATCTTGACAGGAGAAGGAACACTGAGAGCATGAATAAGACATTTCCTGTGCAACTTTGCCCTCTAGTGGAGAATTATGAAATAATAATCCTTTGCCAATTCTACCTCCTGTTGACAGTCTCAAAGAAAACAGAAGATAAGAGAGCTTCTAAAGGAATAGTTCATCTGTTTAGTGATGTCATAAGTTATGTTGTGTTGACCTTGTGATGTTTTCTTTCTTTCATGGAACACATATATAGATGTATAAACCCAGACATTCTGTTTGACATCTCATTTTTTGTTTCACAAAAGAAATATAATAAAATGAGGCCGCAATGAGGGTGACAGAGGAATTATGGCTTAAAGTTGTGCTTAATCCATTATTTTCCCCCACAGTGCTATTTTTCAGCAGGTGGTGATAGGAAAAGCTTTTGGATTACTCATCTGGTTTATAAAGTACATATCTGATCTACATCTCCTTTCAAGGGCAAAATGAACGAAGCCACTGCACAGATTACATTACATTACATGCATCACACAGCACTTACCCACATGAATTTACACATAATTCAGCACTGATTTAAAGTCCTACGAATAGTGTTTACTCTTCCGGAAATTCAAGTGAACTCCATGGTAGTTTCTTTGTTTAGTATCTGTGATGCAGGAGTGGCAGGGAATTTAGAATTGGATTCTAATATGCACTAATATTAGTTTTGGAGATCATACTATTTTCTTCCTTTACAATTAACCTAAAAATTAAAATTCTCATCATTTCTTCTGTGGAATTCTGAGGAATAATCACATTCTTCAGGATATTCTTAAAGGGGTCATAGGATGCCCATTTTCCACAAGTTGATATGATTCTTTAGGGTCTTAATGAAAAGTCTGTAACATAGTTTGGTTAAAATGTCTCAATGGTAGTGTAAAAAACACCTTTTTTACCCTGTCAAAAACAGCTCTTTTCAGATCAAGCCGTTTTTGTAGCATTTTCCTTTAAATGTTAATGAGCTCTGCTGACCCCGCCCCTCTCTTCCGAGCTGCTCTCTGAGGGACTGTTTACTTTAGCCGCATTCATCGTGAAACTTGCTAATTAGCACATTATTTCTAAAGGCGATTTGCAAAGATTCATTACAAAACATTATACTCGCTTCTTCTGTAGATGAGGCTGGATCAGGAATGATTTGTGCGAACATAGACGCATTTATGTAGATCGGGGGAGCATTCCCTTCAGAAACAATGCCTGTTTTTGTGATGTCACACAGACAGGCATCTGAGATCGGCTCGATTTGAGAAAAGGGAAAACATTTAACCAGATTAAAAAAAAAACACTGGGTGGATTTTTATCATTATAGGGTGGTTGTGTACACACACTGCCAACACACCTTTCAGTTCAAACAACTTGTAAATGTGCATGTAGCATCCTATGACCCCTTTAAAAGATTTACACAACAAAGATTTTTCAATGTTTTTTAAGACACTTACAGTATGCTCATCAAGGCTGCATTTATTTGATCAAAATACAGTAAAAATATTGTTACCATTTAAAGTAACCATTTTCTATTCGAATAGATTTTAAAATGTAACTTATTCTTCTGATGTAAAGCTGAATTTTCAGCATCATTACTCCAGTCTTCAGAAATCATTCTAATATGCTGATTTGCTGCTCAAGAAACATTTATTATCATCATCAATGTTGAAACCAGTTGTACTGCTTAATATTTTTGTGGCAACTTTGAAACAAAAGTTCAAAATAACAGATTTTTCGGAATGGAAATATTTTGTAAGATTATAAATGTCTTTACTGTTACTTTTGATCATTTTAATGCATCCTTGCTGAATAAAAGTATTCTTTTATTTAACAAAAACTTACTGACACCTAACCTTTAAACAATAGTGTACCTTTTATGTTCCGCAGAAGAAGAAAAAAAGTCATACGGGTGTGGAAAGAAAAAAGAGGGTGAGTAAATGATGACAGGGTGTTTGGGTGAACTGTCCCTTTAAGGCATGTTCTCAGCCTGCATTTTATTATGATACTCTATATATAATGTAAATGTTAAGAAAAAAAATCCTAATCAATTTGAATAAATATAGTCAAAAACCACCATGTTTCATGAAGCAGTTCTGAGTTTGGAATATACCTGTGCTGACTGATTGGTGAGGCCGGTTCCCTCCAAGTCCAGAACTTCTAGAGTTCGACTGGATGAGACAGCGACAGCCAGCATCCCAGCGATGTGATCCCCTGGAAACCACAAGCAACGGGAAAAGCTGAGACAGAGACTCCGAGTGCAAGGTGCAAACCAAGTGGTTTCCAAAGTGCAAACCCAGCATTTCTCCGGCAGAAAAATTTGCACGCTTGGGTGGCATTTTCATTCAAATAAATGTCTGTATATATATAACATCTACACCATTCACTATACTTCAGGCAAAGACTTGCTTCCTTGAATTAATTGTTAAATAGATTTATGTCAAACTAAGACACACAATTAACTTTACAAATGTTTAGTAAACTATTGAGCTTATTAATACTGATCAAAATAATATCATGTCCAGCATACATCCATACCTCAAAACGGCTGAAAATAACTCACCTAAGGGATTGTAGTCGAGGTTGAGGACCCGTAACTGTGAGCTATGAGCCACGGCGATGGCCAGTTGAGCCCAACCCTGCGTGCTGATGGCTGGGTTGGCACTCAGTGTAAGCTCTTTAAGCCCTGTGCAGTATTATCGATCGCATAAAAGAGCATTGTTAATTCACCATAGATCCAAGCCTGCTGCTAGATTTAAAGCTACTACTACTACAGTATTTTTCATTTGGATATACATTATTCATAGAATTGTACCAATTTCCCCAAATTACACACAGAAAAACCACTCTCAAAATCAATGGAAACCTTACACACAGTCTTTCAATCAATGTTTTACAATCTGAATATCAACATTTGGAAGATATAGTCATTTGAAACAGTTTTGAAGTTAATTAATCTAATTTAGCATCTCTGGAAAATAGTAATCTGTGACATTATACTATGTAGATTAACAAAGGTTAATGAGGAATTAGTGGACACATTCATGTTCTTAGATTTATGGAGTGAAAATATTGTTTGGCATGTTGTTACTAGTGTTATTATTATTTTTTTTTAATGTAATTCATTGGGTTACTAGTGAATAATTCCGTGAGTTTGATGTACATATTGTTGCTATTATGACATTTTCAATTAAATATATATATATATATATATATATATACACTCCAGTAATTCCACTGTATATATGAATTCCAGTACCTCCTACATTATTATCCTCCAGTATTTAATTGAAAATGTCATAATAGCAACAATATGTACATCACACTCATGGAATTACTCACTAATAACCCAATGAATTACAATAAGTATTACATTAAAAAAAAAAAACACTAGTAACAACATGCCAAACAATATTTTTCACTCCACAAATCTAAAAACATGAATGTGTCCACTAATTCCTCATTAACAAATGTCTATATATTTCTGGCATATTAGCATAAGCAAATGGTGCCTTGGTGTATTGATTCAGCCAACTGAAAACTGCTGTAACATACACTAAGAACTCTAACATAATGTATAATATGACTAACTGCTTATTTAATCTTAATGTATCACAAAGGTTTTTTGTATGGAAACTATCTTTAATAAACACTGTTTTCTGGTGAAGCTGTGATGTTTTACCCGATTTGGCTCCATCCGGAGGAAGCATGCCACAAATGAGACGAGCTGCCTCATCTCCAAGCATGCAGTCCCCCAAATCCAAGGACACCAGTGAGGGGTGAGCGGAGAGGGCTCCATTCAGGGTGACCAGTCCTGCATCTAAAAGTGGACTTCCGTGGAGACTATAAAGGCACAGGAAAAGCGTACAGAGACGGACATTATGTTCTGTGCTACATTTGCATTCCCTGAAGAAAATGACAATGCTTTCAAAGCAGCAAAAGTGTTTCAAATGTTGGTTCTGCATTACAACAACAAAAACATTTTTTTTTAAATGCAGCAGCAGAATCACAATCGCTGTTGTCAGGACACTCAGCTCTTGTTTTCTATCAGCTGTGTACGAGAATAAACAAATTGTGGATTATGTGTGGCTTTTTGAAACAATTATTTGAACTAATTAGAAATTAGAGGTGAAATCTCTATGAGACCACCACCAACTTGAGGTGACAGTAGAAGTTGTACATCTCTATAGGAATTACATTTTTCTAAACAATATTTCCCACACATCGACTTTACTTGGGCTAAGTATATTTGGAGAAACATTTTTGCTTTTATTAGTTTTATCCTCTTATACTTTTTTAATCTGCCCGAAATAATGAAACCACCCGCAATCGATTAACTATAAAATCTGTGTCCCGTTCACTGAAAGAGACATTATAGGACAAAGCAAGGAGAACTCTACTATTTAAATGCTGTAATTTTGAATAATTTACAATGCATAATAATGCATAATATGAGTATGTAATTACATGTAATAGTAGCCTGTAATTAAAATGAATTTCAATAAATAAAAATATTGTTAAAAATCACACATTATTTGTCACATGTAGTAGACCATTTTTGTGCCTTGGGTAATAGGAGGATTTTCCACCCTGCTACCACCGCAAGTATATTTCAAACCTGGGAAGCACTGAAAAACATGTTAAAAATAGACTGAGCAGACAGGTAGGATAGTTACATTTCCCTATGTAGGAAATTAATATGGAATATGTCACACACAATAAAAAAAAAAAAAAAAAAAACTTGACTTTGCGAAAAGACCAATCACAATTCAGTATGCAAACGATCTGAGAAACACTACCAGCCTCAGTGTGCTAATATTACGGTGACGTAATCGAAATCCCTTGGAACTGGATAGCAAACTTTCTAACAATGCATGTCAACGGGAGTCCTTCAAACTTTCATTTCATAAACACGAATAATAGCTATACTTTATATAGCACATTTAAGAAAATTAAGAACTAAGTATACAATTTTTGACAGAAATGCTGAAATGTTTTATTTATTTTTTGTGCATTGCTAGGTTTCGTTCTACATATTTACTCATTTAGCGGACGTACAAACGAGGAATATCGCAATCAATTTGTCATAAGAGCCAACAATACTGATAGTACACAATGCCTATTTTAAAGTTTAGGGTAGATTAGTAGGGTAGACACTGGATGTGGTTTGGAGGTTGTCTTGTCAAAGTCAAAAAATCCCACCAGTGATACTGCGCTTTCGAAATATCTCGATTGCCTTCTTCAATTTAATTCTGTTTATTGGCTGGCTGACAGAAAACTTCTCCTCGTTAATAACCTATCGCCAGCAATATAATAATAGTGACGGTTGCATGCACTCACAACAGGGTCTGGACGGATCTGTTGGCCTTCAGAGCATCTGCCAGCTGCTTGGTCCGGTCGATGGTGGACACCACGCCGAGGTTCAGGTTCAGTTGAGCGAGAGAGTGCGACTCCGCCACGCCGCGACACAGGCGGCCGAAGTCCCGGTCGGACAGCTGACAGCCGCGCACCGACAGCAGCCGCACGCTGTTCTCCTTCAGGCTGTCGCATATGTCTTTGATTTCAGCACCGGACAGCGCCTCTCCCGTTATCTGAATAGAGCCCGGCAGCATTTCGGTGGTGTCAAGCTAGATTAACGGGCATTATGGATCCTGGAGGTCGGATCCGCAATGTCTAATCCAGTGCACCAGCTTCAGGCTCGGGATCTCGCGGAAGGTGTGGTGCTGGTGCTGCCTACTTCAGCGTTTTGTGCTTCCTCTGCGTTTGCCTCCCGACATGCTCAAGGCTGTGAACCAAAGATGATGATGATGATGCTGGTGCTGTCGGTTACTATGGGCACCCTCTAAACGTCGCTCACGTTAAATTGTCCCCAACTCACCAACGAAACAGGCTTTAGGCGACTCCAGGTTTGAGGTAATCCGCCTGACCGCGATGCTGGGATTGGCCGCAGAGAGAGAACGTGTCTGTGAAAATGGGCACGAGCTCTTGAGGTAACGCGTGTAGCCTTCATCTATTCAACTGTATGGATGATTGCTTGCGTCCTCCTGGAAGTGGGTTGCATTCATTGCATGAAATAAAACACCGGGGCAAGTTGTCACACACTTCACCCTATGAACGCTTGTCAGAGCAGGTTTATTTTAGAAGGTGAATTTCTATACATACCATATACAGACAAGTCCTCACTACGAATAAATAAAACATAAATAAATAAATATTTTTCACAGTTATTCCTCATGAAAAAAGAGAGATTATTTGAATATTTACAGTTGATTTAACACTGTAGGCTAGTGGGATGTAAATTGTCACCGTGGGAAAATGCCTATAGATTTTGCAACAAAATATAAACAACACAAAAGAACTTATAAGTTATTTGAAACAAAGCAACTTGTAACACATCAAAAATGTAAAAAGTAAATAAAATGTATTTACAAGTTACAAAACACCTGACATTAATGAAAAATGCCTTTTGTTCTGACAGTAACCACTCAGTTAACCCTGCTATATCTGATACTGAATTTTCAGCAGCCATTACTACAGTCTTCAGTGTCACACGATCCTTCAGAAATCATTCTAATATGCTGATTTGTTATCAATATTGGAAACAGTTGCGCTGCTTAATATATATATATTATCCTGAAAAAGGTATCACAGGTTCCAAAAAATATTAAAGGGGTCATATGATGCGATTTCAACTTGCTGAAAATTCAGCTTTGCATCACAGCAATAAATTATATTTTAAAGTATATTAAAATAGAAAACCACTATTTTAAATGGTAATATTTTAAAATATTACTGTTTTTTTCTGTATTTCTGATGAAATAAATGCAGCCATAAACAGAAAAGACTTCTTTAAAAAACATTACAAATATTACTGATCCCAAACTTTTGAACAGCAGTGTATATATATATATATATATATATAGGTATACTGTAGTCATGCACCTACATTTTATTAATATTATTTTTGGCCACAGGCTCTAGTCTCATTTATTGAAGGTAATTTTAGACTGGCTCTACAGAGCAATTAAAGCAGTTCAGTAGTTTAACCTACTTTTCAAACTTTTAGATGCAAATTTGAAACACTTTTATTTCAGGAAGCACAATAAGAGGCCTTTGCCATTTCACTTCAAAGGTTTCTCTTCTGGGACTGTTTGAAAGCACTCTTTTATTCTTTGTAAGCTTTTATTTAGAGAGGTCATGTTATTCTATTTATTTTTTACATTTAAAAAAAAAAAAATCCTCAAAATTCCACTTATAAAATTTGTCGCGTCTTTTAAAACAAAACAAAAATAGCTTTTAAAGCAAAGCGACTGGGACTGTGATGCATAGAGCCCCTGCATGACGATAGCTGGTCTCTAACGTTTTTCATTCGATTTATTTTTTTTGCTGTTTCTCATTTTGATGCTGGGTTTGATACGGGGCTGAGGATGTGGACAGGCTCTGAGCTCTCTGATTTGGCGGGCTCATGTGAGGGCCTTGAGTTCCCTGTCAGGATCACATTCATCCAATCCTGTGTTTAATCCACTCTGCTTTTTCTAGACTGGATGGTCCACAAATGGCCTGCATGGAGAAGAAAAGCAAGACAATTCTTCACATTGTCTATTACATCCTAGTCTTTTTTTTTCTTCATCAGTATAACAAGAACATTAAAATGAACTCTACATACTACAAATAATCTAGAACTGAAGATATATGACAGCATAAATGTAGTTTCCTACTTTGCCTGTTCCACACCGGAAATCACCGATTGAATGAATCTCCTGCACCTCTCCAATGTAGATCATTTCTAATGAACTCATGTTGTAACATCTGCTCTAACGTCAGCCATTTAGTTGGATCCCGGGTTAGGCACTGGCTAATCAGATCACTGATTTCTGTACAAATTTTAAGGAGAGAGCTGGTTAGTCATGACCATGTGACACTAATGTTGGCATGTATGAAACATGATTAAGAGATTTCTTTCTTCAAAATGAGGTAATAGCAGAATGTTGGGGACCATAGTTATTACAGATAAATAAAACGATTAATTCCATTAAAAACATTTTGGTTGAACGGAAATAAAATACAAACGTAAAAGGCAACATTTCTATTTTTCATTTATTTTACCTTGATGTACTAAAATAACTAAAACAATTTTTTTTAAAATAAAAATTCATAAACCCTATATAGGCATATTAAAAAAATAACAATAAAAAATACAACTTTAGCTAAAAGTAAACTGAAAACAGAAAATATAAAAATAAAAAAAATAAAATCTATAATAGTATATCAATGATAATAAAATAACACTGGGGACTTACAGAAAAAAGGAAAAGCTGGAAGGCTGCAGAGTAAATGAATGAAGACTGGGGCTGTCATAACATTGTGGTGAAAATGTGTAAAAAAAAAGTGTGTCACCAGTGTTACTTTTCAGAATTTCTGGTCACAGATGTAACCAAAGGGATTATATTGGTGAAACATGCAAGCTCAAGTGACAATGAAACACAACTACTGAAACGTCTATCATCACATATTAAAAACTACTAATAAAATTACGGACAGTGTACAGCACATACTCTGCACTGCAGAATTACAGTCAAATACTGGCATCCTACAATGATTCAATCATTCAATCAAACAAGGAGAAAGTCATCCATCAGTACTGCAGAGGATAAATGTAATAGGGCTTTATGAACACTCAAGTCCATACAATTTAAGAAAATAAATGTAAAAAGTGGCAAAATATTTAGTCTACTGTCAATTATAGAAATGTATACTGTTCTGTGCATTCAACTGATTAGTAAACATTTGTTTTGTACTTTAACTGCAGGGAATGCTTTTTAACTAACTGGAAACACTACATCCCAAAGCTGCTCTACTGGATTGAGATCTGGTGACTGTAGTCAACTCATTTTCAGGTTCAAGAAACCAGTTTGAGATGATTCGAGCTTTGTGACATGGCGTGTGATCCTGCTGGAAGTAGCCATGGGTCTGTGGTCATAAAGGGACAGACATGGTTAGCAACAATCAGGCATGCTGAGGCATTTAAACAATGCTCAATTGGTATTGAGCCCAAAGTGTGCCAAGAAAATATCCTCCACACCACCACACAGCCTGAACCATTGATTCAAGGCAGGATGGATCCATGCTTTCATGTCGTTTAAGCCAAATTCTGTCCATATCACTCGTCAGCAGAAATCCAGACTCGGGCAACCCTTTTCCAATTTTCTCTAAGTCCAATTTTGGTGAGCCCATGTGAATTATATTGAGCTGCTGTAGCCCATCTGCTTCAAAGTTCAATGTCTTGTGCGTTCAGAGATGCTCTTCTGCATACCTCAGTTGTAACAAGTGATTATTTCAGTTAGGGCTGCACGATTCGATTATTCCCTTGAAATTGTAATTGCGATTATTAATTACTATCATCACAATTTACATTGAATGATGTTTATACCAATGTTTGATGCAACTGCATGCCATATTTTTATATGAAAAAATAAACAAGCTGAAAACACTAACTGAAAAACCTTTAGTGCTTTTCTATAGTTTTAAGCCTCAAATGTCAAATATACATTGGATTCGTTTCTTCTTTAAATTATAAAAAAGTAAAAATATGAATGGTATTATGATGTTATACTAAAACTAAAACAATGGAAAAACCCTTAAGATAACATGTAGAAAGAAAAAAACATATCTTAAGCGTGCAGAATAACATAAGTGGACTTTGAACGATTAATTGCCGCTTTGAACGATTACGTAATTGTGGCATCCATAATTGTAATTGCGATTAGAAATTCAATTAATTGTGCAGCCCTAATTTGAGTTATTAGGTTATTTGAGTTGCCTTTCTATCAGCTTGAACCAGTCTGGCCGTTCTCCTCTAACCTCTGGCATCATCAAAGCATTTTCAGCCATAGAACTGCCACTCACTGGATATTTTCTCTTTTTCAGAACATCCTCTGTAAACCCTTGAGATGGTTGTGCATAAAAATCCCAGTAGATCAGCAATTTCTGAAATGAGATCTGCTGGTCTGGCCATGCCACATTCAAAGTCCCTTGAACCAGCTTTCTTCCTCATTCTGATGCTCAGTTTAAAATTCAGCAGGGGTGCGTTTCCCGAAAGCAACTATGGTCGCAAGTTCCGTCGTTACCAATAGATTTCAATGGAACTAACTACCATAGTTAGCTAATGGTGCGTTCAAGTCATGTCGGATAGATCGTATTTACGAGTTGAACGCACATGAACGCCACCACAAAGTCGTTATTACGAGTGGGAAACTCTAAATTTTCTTTAAGCCCCGAGTTTCTGAGTTGGGGGCGTGTCAAAGAGAAACATGGCGGAATCGATGGATGCAACGTCTGTAGTTGACGGTAAATTTTTGTTTAAATTGATAGTTTAGTTGTCCTATAAAGATTGCCAAAGTAAAACATAAATCACAATACTTATAGGTATTAAGCAGTGACGACATTGTCAGGCTTTTTATTTACAAAAAATACGCTTTTTGAATGTGGCAGGATTGCAATATAACAATTAATAACAAGTTTTTATGCGATACAGATTAAAGTGGCTTCATAAATAACTTTTTTAAAATATTAAAAACGCAAAACACACCTGATTCGAATTATTTGCTCTTCATTTTCTATAAGCAGAGTTAACGTATTTTCTTGTAGTTTATTAAAAGAAGGTACACCGCCATCTTGTGCCGACTAAACCGACTTGATGTCGTAATTACAACTTGTCAACTCGTAAGTACGAACGTCCCAGGAGGACTTGAACGCAGCATAACAATGCTTTTGGGAAACGCACCCCGGATCGACCATGCCATGCAGTTACTGCTATGTGATTGGCTGATTAGATATTTGCATTAACGAGCAGTTGAACAGGTGTACCTAATAAACCAAGTTGCAGGAGAGTGTATGAAGCATGGATGTTCCTACAGTTCACTGGCTCTCAG